ATTCAAGAATAGAAATTGATTTGTTCTCTCCAGTTTTGTTCTCAAAAGAATGCTAATTCCTCAGAGAATGGCAGTAAAATACTAAAGGTACACTGAGCACAAAAGTGGAGGAAAGAAAATAAATCCTGAGAGGTCAATATAAGAAGAAAGGAGTATAAGTGTTAAAGTTTAAAAGGAGGAAATGTTTTAACGTTTTGTCCTAGTGATGCAGCAACATTTCTTGAAATACTGACACTATGGCAGACAAACAGAACTGAGTAGGAACATGGTAACCATACAGTAAGTTTGAGCATGGAGGGGCAGTGCAGGACACCTGCCAAAACTCTAGCTTAGCTTTAAAAGCTTCCACATGCAGCTCTGTGTAGATGTAGAACCCATACATGCAACTGCCCAGGGACCAAGCAGAAGAATCAGAATTTACAGGAGAGGCTGTAGTTCAGTGGAATAGCAGATGCTTCACATGCGGAAGGTCCCAGGTTCAATCCCTGGCAACCTTGCAAGGAGGTGGAAGAATTCCCACCTAAAAGCCTGACAGGTGCTGCCAGTCCATGTCAGCAATACTGGGTTAGGGTTAGGCTAGATAGACCAATAGCCTGATTCAGTCCAAGGCAGCATTCTATAGTCTAGATGTATGAGAATGACCTGAGAAAGGACCTGTTTACATGATCACTTATCCTAGGACAACAACATTTGCAGCCACTTCTGTGTCTGAATTGTCAATCCTGTTCATCAAGGACTTATTTCTTTTGACTCAGTTCTCCTCTAAGTTAGGGAAAAAAGCAGGACTGCTGCTTCTGATTGATGGAGTTTTCAGTCTCACTGAACAATACTGATACTGTGAATGATCCAAGATATTACTAAAGCTGTATGCTTATAACTCCCTGGAATTCTGTAGACACAATAACAACTCAGAAATGACAACCTCAGAGAACTGTTTGTATAAACATGTCCCTTTTGAGCAACATGCTGTGACTGAAACATCCTGAAACTGTCTGCCCAAGAATGGTTACTTCTGAGATTGTTTATTAACGTCCGCTCTAAATCATCCAAAACTAAAAGCAAGCTGGGTAATTCTGACCATGTCTAATAACCCCATTGTATAATATGACCTGCATGGTGACATGAAGAGAATGTGTTTTTTCCCTGTTCATTAAAAAAAATCAAAGCAGTTTATTTTCATTTCTTAAAACCTTCATGTGTAGCAGCTCATCTTGATCTTTCTGATATTTTGCAATTAATTCCTCATGTTTTTGTTTTTCAATTTCTAATTCCATTTTGGCTTCTTCTTTGAGTCTGAGAATCTCCTGCTTATGATGGGCTTGTTCTTTTGCTCGGTCAGTTTCAAGCTGGAAGGCAAAAGTTTTGGGTATCAGTAAGTATCTGCTCCATTTAGGCTGTGTTTCATTGAACATACAAACATACACAATGGGATGTTAGTAAAGAGATGCTGCCCAGCCCTTATATATAAAATCTTAATTAATAGAAAATATACCAAACAGATAAATGCATAACGTTCATCCAATATCATCTTAGTAATATTGAATGCATAGGTACAGTTTTGATTCTAAGTGCTGATCATAACAAATTAAGAGAGCAAACCTATAGCCCCTGGAGAGTGTCCCAAGGACCACAGGATATTTTGGCATTCCCTCTCCAGAACTGTGGATGCTGCTAGGACATCTGAAGCAGAAATCCACACAGGGATTGTTTACCCTTAGCCTGTGCAGCATTACAGAAAGAAACGTGGCAGCTTCCTCACCCAAGGTTGAAACTCTGACTTGGGGTGAGAGTGAAGGAGCAAGGAGGTGATCTGTAGCATCCTGAAGCCCCCCAGCTCCTATCTCTGCTATCCCATTAGATGCACTCAAAAGTGTGTCCAGTGAGAAAAGAACCATAAAGGAAGACAGAGAGCAAAGATCACTTCTGCCATTTCCTCTGTTGTGCCAGGTGTCTGCTGGCAGAGCACTGGATGTTCAGAGTGTTCCAGGAACAGAGCATTCCTTCCAAAAACCCCCACATAGAATAGCTCTGTCAGGTAATCACTGATACTCAGAAATGCCTGATATGCGACTAGTTTTCAAGATTCATACAGAAAACAGATCATGTTCATGATTACTCAGAAACAAGTCTCCCTATATTCATTGGTCTCATTGCAAGCCCCATTTCATTGTTTTCAGTGGAATGTAGGCAGGACTAGGAATTATGGAGAATTTAATCCAGTTTGTATTTTAATAAGAGATTAAGTGCTAATAAGTGCTAAATGTGCACATCCCAAATCTGCACATGAACCAGAATGCATTTCTACAGACACTTTAACATTTGAGTGTTGTAGTGCAGTTTGGTAATCAAAAATGTGAACAAACACTGTGAATAATGGGGAAAATGTGCACAAAAGTGCATTTCGTTAGGAGAAATTGCTTGCCAATAATGAGTACAGTAGGAAAAGTGGATGGCAATGTGTCTATTGGGAGAAATATACACAAAAATAAGTACAATTTTCATGCAGACCTTTGTGGGGAAAATAGCAAAATATAGAAACAGGATGGAATTAGCTTAAAATTAGGATTCTGACATTAGCCATGGCTGGGGACTGATAGAGTTATTCTTCCCTGGACATGCCTAGCTAGCTGGCTTGTGTCTACATTATTTGGCTTGCCCTGAATACAGGAAAATTTCTCTGGAAAATTATATGCAGTTTGTTATTTGCTGTCTGCTGTCAGGATTATTTCTACTTGGGTATTAATAAATAAAATTTATATTACAAAAACACCCTAGCAGTGATAATGTTGGGCAGGATGTTGGTTCAGAGACCTAGGGCCTCACTCAGCAGAATGAAGAGGACCCAAATATTTTGAAATACATGAAGCAAAACATGCTACCACCTATGAAAAAAACATTTCAACAGCTGTAGTATTTCATTTTTTTAAAAGGTGAGTAAAGTTGAGTAAGTAGGGAAACAAGATAGAGTCGTGGAGGAGTACATGGGGGCTATGTTTCTTCCTCTCTCATAATAGTAGAACCCAATAAAGCTGAAGAGTAGAAGATGCAGGACAGTCAAAATATTTACTTCTTACAGCATGTAGCTGAACTGTGGAATTTACTATGACAAGAAGTAGATTACACGAATTCATGGAGGATAAGGCTGTCAGTGGCTACTAACCAGGGTAGTTATGTCTAACCTCCAGTATTGGTGGCAGCAAGCCTCTGAATATCAGTTTCTGTGGAACATGAGCAAGAGGGTGTTATTGCCCTGTGGGCTTCCCTCAGATTTCTGGTAGGCTACTGTGGAAACACAATGCTGGACAAAATGGACCTTTGATCTGAACTAAGAAGGCTCTTCTCATGCTGCCTCTAAGAGATTGTGCTTACTGTTGCTCGTCATCAGTTCCAGAAAGGATGGAGTCAGGTTTTTTCACCTGGGGGAATGTGTGTGCAGCCCCCATAGGCGTGTGCACTTATTCCTACTGAATCAGGGCAATTAAACTTTTCCTCCCTCAGCATCATTTCCATATGAATAAAGAAGCATACATCATAAGCAATGAAGTGTATCACAGGTGTTTATTATGCGTTGAGTAGACAGGTCAAGAAGGAGCTCTGAATTTTCAAAGCAGTGTCAAGAAGGTATTTGACACAAAGTACTAAAATAAATATTGACTGACAGTACTGACATCACTGAGAGCTACTCTCAGGATGAAAACATTTCCATTTAGATAACGGCTGGAATCAGGGTAACTAATAATAACTATGAGCATTCTGAAGGATACTTCTCCATTATCTAGTTCAAGTTGCATAGCGACAAATGATGTTTGTCTGTCTGTCTGTGTAACCCAATGCAGCAAATGCCACCATGCCACTTTAAGCAACTTAGCATGTAATCCTATCAAGGCAAGATGCTGTCAAGATGGCCAGAGGAAAATCTGACATGCCCTCTCTCCACCCTCACATCCAATGTAGTTCATTAGCTGCAGCTTCAACGCTGCAACTGGGGCTTCAGAGCCAGTGCTGGGGAAGGGCACTCTGGAGAGCATGGAGGAGATGGGAGAAGCACAGGTTCACCAGCATACAAAGAATCCCAGCCGTGCCTGAGCCCTTCCTCCTTACAGGCAGGGGTAAAACAGTTAGATGGCCAAAATCTGCCTTGTAAATGTTTTGGAGGGTGGGATGGATGCCAAAGCAATTCTTCCCTCTGAACTCCTATCGCTGGGATGCTCTAATCCTCCAAGGATGGAGGGTTATGGCAGCCACACTGGATGGTGCTGCCCATTTTTTAAAAAATTCCCCTGCCCACCACCACTGAACAAATACTTGGATTGAAAGAGTGCTTTTTTTTTTTTTTTAAAGAGAATACGTTATGCCTATGAAATGGCACAATGACCTAAGAAAAAGACAGCAACATCTCTTTGGTCTGATGAGCATTCTCAGAACACTTGACATTCAGCACATTTTAACAGTCGTTAGCAAATACATAACTGCTGTCTCTTATTTCTATTAGTTCATTATGCATTTTAAATGCCAAGCAAACAACCGATTCTGATTGTGCAAACAGACTGACCTCATGCTAAAATTATATTCTGTACAAGAGAAAGGAAGTTGTTTGAGGCAGCTTGATTTATTAACAAAAGACTAAAATTATGTCAAAAATTATAGTATATACTGAGAGAAAAGTTACAAACATTTTAGAGCCAAGTGTTTTCAAAGCTTCATAATTGAACTTATTTAAAATGGTGGAACTAGACCCCTTCAAGGAAGCTAAAGATTGTAGATTCCTCTCTCCAGGCATCTTCTGATACAGGGCTAGTTCATCTAATCTTGTTTATCTCTTGAACAATGTTGTTGCTGTTGTTATTATGTAAAGTTATTTACATAACAAATCATTTCTGACTTATTGGTGACCCTATGAATGAATGCGCTTCAAAATCTCCTGTCCTTGACAGTCCTGCTCAGCTCTAGTAAACTGAACAAATGTAGCATTAAATAATCATGCACATGTTAATGAACCAGCACCATAAACAGAACTCACATCCCTACAGACACAGTTGTCATGTTCGCACTTCACGCGAAGTCGCTCTGTGAATCAGCTACACAGTGTGCCCAACAAATGATCAGGCTCACTGTGGCTTGATCTTTGCCTCCTCCTGCCTAGGTCCTCCAGCTGGTATCCCAGTGAGCCTAACTCTTTAGTTACTCGAGAAAGCAGAGCTATTAACTCCTCCATGTTTCACAACTTGGTTTCAGAACACAAACTGCGGTAGTTACTATGGTTCCCTTGCTAGCTATTTAAACCATTAGGAATATTTGCGCACATATTTTGAATTGTGAAAAATAAACACACTTAATGGCTAGGAAGAAATTGAGAAAACTGTGCCAATTTAAGGGCTGGGAAGCAGATGGAAGGTAAATTTGCATGCCTGCAGTTATTGCTGTTATTTCCTTCTATACTGTCCCATAGCTGAAGCTCTCTGGGCAGTTTACAACAGTGCGACTTCCTTCCTGTTGCATATGCTTGTCATGCATGCAGCACACCTATGGAAAAAGTCCTTTGTTCCCAGGCCTGCTGATATGCATACACACATCACATATGTGTTAACTGTTCTATTTCTGCAAGTGTGCAAACTTACCCTCCATTTATGGCCCTATCCTTAAATTGGTACAGATTTCTCCTCCACTGATTATGCAAAAATAATCTCGACATTAAAAAAGAAAACCCTTAGGGGTGGCAACATGGGACATAGCATGCGCCATGTTGCCACCAGCACCCCCAGTTCTTACATCCCTGCCTGGGGAGGGGGTCCTCATCACTCTGTCCCATTCAGCTGCCTGTCTGCACTTTTACGAAAAAAGCTGCCTAAGAACCACTGTAGTTGCAGCAGTAAGTGACAGTAAGTAAGGAGCAGCAAATTGTGGGTTGGGGAAGAATCTAATATTCTCTTTTCTGGAGCAAGTGGAGAAGGGTTGAAAAGGTACAAGCCACTGCGGAGTGTCATTTCAGCACTTAAAATCCAGAGAAGAACATTACTAAGCTGGAGAAATTGCCCATCACTTTGGTGTACCTTCTTTCACCATTGTTTCCCCTTTGCACATGTTCTTTAACTGACAGCTAGGGAACTGTGTGCCATTTAGCCTAAATGCAGTCTCACCTTGCCAGTCTGTTCCCTACTCCAATTTGCTGCTCTGTGTGTCAGCTGAGACAGACAAGGAAATTGACCAGGCAAGACTCCATATACAGGACAGCCCCAAGTGTGCTTGAGAAGGATGGACAAAAACATTCCTATGAATAAATAACCCAACTGCACAATTTTCTGGGTGAAAAAAATTAAAAGGTGTCACACCAGTGATTCCCAGTGTAAGGTGCCCCTTGGGCATCAGTGGAGGGATCGTCACTGGTGGTGGAACAAAGGAGATTAAGAAGTGTGGCAGGAATACAGGGATGATAAAATTGGCCCCCCGGTTTTAGACAATACAACTCCCTGGGGGTCAATCAACCCCTGGAATGTGCTCCCCAGAGAGGTCCGCCTGGCACCAACGTTATATTCCTCCCAGAGCCAGGTAAATACCTTTTTATTCAACCATTATTTTAATAATCAAGGGCTTTAGATGTTTTAGGATTTTTTTCTTTTTTCTCTTTTCACAGTTGCATTTTCTATTATTTTCCTCCTTTTTCTCAAGTTCATGATGTGCTGTTTTATATTGTTTTAATAATTGAGGTTTTATATTGTGATTTAATATTTTGTAAGCCACCCTGAGTGCTTGGTGGAAGGATGGGATATAAATGCCTGTAATAAATAAATAATAAATAAATAAACAAGCCATTTGTTGTCAGATAAGCCACCCTGGAGATAAGATATAGGTCAGGCAAAACCAGTACACATCATGGCTAGTTACCCACGTTAGGTTGTCATGTTGTGTGAACCAGGGTAGTAGGTTTCAGTTGAATCAGTTTACCCATTCAACTGGAAGTCATTAGTGATAAGTGACAGAAATGAAGCATGCATGAATATGCACCAAACAATTGCATTGTATTAGAAACAGCAAATGTTAGGTCTCTTTTGTGAGGTTTCTTTTTTATTGCTTGAAAGTAGAAAGACTTATAGCAGGCTTTCCACCATGACAAATGTTCAAAAGATTGTATTTCCATTCAGATGCAATCCTACACACACTCACCTGGACCTAAGTAGATAGGTATAATTAGAAATGTAGCCATGTGTAAGTATTGCCATGATTGCCATGAACTGGCCTTATAAGTTCTTAAATAGGTTGTAAATGGGCTCAAAATCATTCACATGTACCATCATCTATTTTGTGCTTTGTCTAAATAATTGCTAAATAAATAATTACTAGACATTTGGAATAACTCAGTCTGGGTATTCATGGTCTGAGCCATGACTTCAATATTTCCACATGACTTAAGAGGCTTCCATCACCCCTAGTTTGCAGGTGTCTTATTTGAACCTAATCCATGCACTAGGATAAACTAGGGGGAGTCATTTTGATCCTTGAAACTATGGATTATATTAACAGCATATTTAATTGGATAGGAAAGCACCTGCTTCTTGCTTACATTCATATACTGTAGACAGGTATAGTTAAACTTCATGCAGAGGAAAGCCTTTGCTATGAACTGCCCATTTCATTGTCCAGAAAAATGAGAAAAAATATACCAATAGATTTTCTTAGTTTCTCTGTGCTCAGTTTCAGAATTTAGAAGACATTTCTAGTTCAGAAGGCTTTGGGGAATAACTGCTACCACATACACTCGCTTGTCTCTCTACATGCTTGAGGACTACTCTTTTTTCTGGGAATCTGTTTGGAACACAAATGACAGAAGGGAATTTGACTTAGAAACTGCTAGGGAAACCATTTTCCATTGTAACTCTTTTTCTGTGCTGCTGGAGGAGTGGTTATTACTATCTAGTAAAACTGGCCTAAAACCTACCACATATTATACTCCCCCAAAGGACAGGGTGAGTACCCTGGGTCAAAGTCCAGATAGCAAAGTACCTTCAAAAGCTGCTGTGGAAGGAACAAAAGAAATGAACTAAGAGCTCTCTCAGAATGATGTTTCATCAAGGGAGTACATCCAACGGCACTTCAATAGTTAGCTAGGAAGGCTGTCCCATAAAAATGAGCAGGGAGAGCACTCAGATTGCTTCAGCTACAAGGGAAACAGAGGGAGAGACACAGCAGTTGGAACTGAAGAAACATTGATCGGGCTGGCTAGGGCTGATGGAAGCTGAAGTCCCAAACACCTGGAGAGCACCATGCTGGGGAAGGTTAGAAAAGAGGGTGTGGACACTCCTTTGTCCGTTTCAACAGAAGGCTTTGCTGGGAAATTTCCAACTATTCCTAGTTTATGAGATGAAATGTAGTCTTACAGCCAAGGTGTTCTGATAAGCACACAAAATGGCAGCAGAACAATACTCTGCTGCCATTGTTCAGTGCAATGCTGCATTATTTTAGTTAAACATGGTTTCCTGAGATGATGGTACTTTTACTGTTAATAAAGAGCAATTTTATTATTTTATACTGCTGTTTTTTAAAATGCCATCCTGATTTTACTTGCTTTTATGAAATGCTTCTTGTTTGTATGCTACTCTAAGGGCACTACAGAGCCATATAGCAGAATAATTAATACATAATAAATAAACAAACAAACAAATGGTATTTTTCTGTGTAGGAAACTTAACTTTGGATGAAGTAGCTTCCAGGAGAACAGAAGCTGTTGGAAAATGAGTGTCAGGGATATCTGCTTGATAACTGACTGAAGTTAAGGAAAACAGATAAACATGGTGATGATTGGAAATCCAGTATTACCTTTTCTTGCCAGTTCTTTTCATTCAGCACCTTTTGCCTTAATGTTTCCTGCAGCTGCTCTGTTCTGCTCTGATGAGAAGTCAGCATAGCCTCCCTAAACAGGACAAATATTCAAGAATATTGTATGCAACGCGAGTATGAAAACAGCTGTAGGTTATGAGATCTGGCTCCATCTTTCCATTCAGTTGCAATACATGTGGTGTCTGTTAAATTTTGTTTTATTCTACTGCACTGTTCAGCAGTCCTGTTAGTCTCTAACAGCTAAAACCTGTGTACGTTAGGGGTGCACAAGCATTTTGACTTTGAAGGCTGCAACAGGTGTACCCTGGGATGCCAGAGGCTGCAGATATGCACACAACCTTACTCATACTCTCACACATTCAAACACACACCCACACACGCATAGACACAGGGCTTTCCCATGCTAGAACTAGTGGGTTGGGTTTCCCTTGTTAGCACTTAGTACTAGCAAGGGAAAGAGCACCCTTAGCTCTGATCTCTTATTTATTAGAAATTGTTGTTTTAAGTGTTCTTTTAAATATTGTAAGCCGTCCTGAGATTTTTGTATAATAGGATACATAAAGGCTTTTGATGATGATGATGATGATGATGATAAGAAGTAGTAGTTGTCTATGGCACTGGCTTAAATAACAACATGGGATGGTATGTTCATTCTAGACCACAAAGACTATGGGCTAGAGTACATCATTTTATTTGGTCAATCTACCAAAGGAAATCCCAATACAATCCATTCCCATTCCAAGAATGTTCAGGAACTTCCAGCTGTGTAAAAAGCATCTACTTTTGTCACACAATGCCCATGAAATATAATCCACATTATAACACTCAATCTACCATAGTAAGATACAGTGCACATAATTCAGTTCTGATGTCCTCACTGTTTCTCATTCATTGTCCTCTCTAGGCAAAGAGGTCAAGTCAGTACTAACATGCCTAGTACTAAAAAGTTCAAAGCAAGTAAACTGATCTGATTTCTATCCCACCCTATCTCTTTCAGCTGCAGCTTTCAACCTGGGAAGAATGAAATATATCTGTTCTCATCCACACTTAGAACTGGGATCATTCTGTCATCTGCAGAGTTTTCTGGTGTGCCACTTTGGAGGAAATATTCTTTGACTTAAAGGAAGCTGGCAAATTTGAGAACACTTGGTCTAATTGAAATCTCATTGTTTGAAAGGATGCCCAAAAATGCTCTGCAGAATTCCAGTGTGTATAAACAGCTTCATGCAAGAAGGACTGATCATCTTTCCAATGCTGAGGGAAACAGGGAAGTACCCGCTCACCTCAAGGGCTATGCATGAACCACAGTCCCTAGCTGAAGTTGCTGGGATGTGATATAGATGCTGGCATCAACACTGTAATCCATTTCTGTTTATTCCTGTTAAATAACTCTTATTAGAGGCAAAAGTTCTAAGATGGGAAAAATAACTGCATGAGGGAAATGAATAATCCTAATGTTTCAGTTCCAAGCAGAGAAGCTTTATTCAATTAAATCATAATTTATACAAGGTTTCCTCAGAAAAAAAATAGTCCTGTATTTAATCAAGAACTTTTTACCTTCACACACACACATACACAGGAAAACTAGATATATCCTTGGTTTTCTGTGTGCCAGTTCCTAATGGAGCATGTCATGGAGGAGATATTTAGCAAGTGTAGTTTCTTCTGTAATCACTAAGTCCCCCGGTACCACAAAGCTCTTAATGGAACAAGAGTCTATTAATTCAAACCTCTGTCTTCATTTCCGCTGTACTAACTTGCATGTACTAACATTTTTCATCACCTCAAGATAGGATTTACATGAAACTAATCTACCTGAAAGGGTCCAACAAGGCAGCTTTGTGACTGTTCCTAAATGGAGTGAATCAAGTGGGACTAATTTTCCTGAAGTCTTCAATGAATAGCATACTGCAGCCACCCCTGAACAAGCTGCTAAAATCATGCTTGCCTGTCACCAAGGACTGTCACATCTGTTACTTGCTGGATCTCTTTTGCATCTACCACTAGGTGACTAGATGGTCCAAGGTGACTAGATGTTCCAAGTTACAGTGACAGAGTGTGTGGCAGGAACAGGGGAGTGACTGGGATCCTGGGATTGTGCTTGATCCTTTTTTCTACACAATTATCCTAAATACTCTGTCCCTGAAAGTTGCTACAGATCCCCTCTCACAAAGACATTTATACTGCGGGTCAAATGTAGTCCCCAATTTAGATTAGGAAAAAGGCCCAGGAGAAGAGTTAACTCCTCAAGTACAGTTTTTTTTTTTAATCTGTTCTCTGTCTTTGGAGTTTCTTTTCAATTAAAAACAATTAAAAAATAGAGGACAAGCTTTTCACACATTTCCCAATATTTTATCTTGGTCTAAATGCTGACCTCCTCCTAATGTAAACTAGACTAAGAATCCCCTCACCCTTATTGAGCAGAAATGTGGTATTACTGGGGTTCCTGAAATAAATAAATTTGCAATATAATTTAACAGGGACATAATCTGAAAACCCTAATAAATTATAGGAGTGTTTGGATTAAAGAGCCTTTGGATACCTATCTGGAACCCATTAAAGACTATGAAAGCACATTTCTTTCACTGCCAATGGATGCTGAAGCACTCCCTGTTTAATAGGCGATATATGTAAGCACAACAATGCATAGATTTTAATTACAATTTAATTTATAATTAAATTAAATTATATAGATTAGCTGCATTCCCGCCACCACTGTAGACATTAACATAAGAAGAATATATATTGAGAAGTAGGAAAATGAACATGGATGGACAATTTCATACTTAACACTGATTTCAAGGACAGGCAGAACAACCTAATGTCCCTTAGACAGCATCTAGAAGGCCATAGGATTTTGGAGAGTCCTAGCATCAATAACAGAAAACAGCTCCAACATCAGATCTAGGACTCCACACTCAGAATGTGCTCCTGCTACATCACAGTCAGTACAGAAAGAAGTGTGCCAACTGCTTTCCTAAGATCACAAATGTGACCTCAGAGAAGGAATTTAACTGGCATTCTAGGGAGGTGAGAAAAGGGACCAGGTATGAGGTATTCTTTCTGTGCCTCGGTTTCCTTCCCACCTACTTCAAAGCATAGCAGTAAAATAGCCAGTATCAGCCATCTAGCTGCTTTGTAGGTGGAGCTGACCTTCATCTCTGGAAAGTCTCTCAGGACTGTGCCTTAAGGTTTTAAGAGAGCTAACATTTTCTGGATGCACTGCATTGTACCTGCACCCATTTATTTCCTGCATTCAGGAAAACTCCAGTCAGCTTCCGAAGCCAATCCTCCAGTCTAGGATCCTTGGAAAAAAGTGTGGGATGCAGAAGAAGCTTGTGCACTGTCAGCTTCAGTGTGTACCTGAAGCTTTCACACAACTTCCCTATTCACTAGCATGTTTGGAACATCTCTGCACATCTCCATCACATTCACATGCCTAGCCTTATCCTGTTGCCTGGAGGAATCATTTAAGAACTGACACTTTAAAAAGCACCCACAACACTATAATTCTGTACAAATGAGATGTTACCTGAATACTTTTAATGACTGTTTTTAGCTCGCAGTATTGAGAAACTGGAAACATCTGCTGTATAAATGACAGCACTGTGCTTACTGGTTTCAGTTGTGCCATTTGTTTGCACACATTATTTAAAGATATACTACTTACCAGAAAGGTCCAGCAAACTTCCCTCATATGACAGCATGTTCAGAAAAATGTACACAGAACCATTTTATCATCGATACTTTTTTGGTTAAAAACAGAAAGTAATTGCAGTGTGTAACTAACGGTGACAACAGAAAAAGATGTACCATAGCTGAGAACTGATACAGTGCAACAGATGTGAACTAAGAAATCTCATGTTAGCCTTAAACTCATATAAAATCCCACAGTAGACCTGAACTCACATCATTGATATGGGGACAGAAATATTGAACAATCTTTCAGGTTTGCCTGTGGTGATTAGGTATATGAGATGGAGCGTGGTAATTAGCAACTGAAGTTATGTGGGACCATATTTTTATAGGCATATGTCTCTGGGAGGCATGGGGAAGGCTTCCCACTTGTAAGACCTTTCTTCCCAGTGGTATCTGTTTGTAGGATGTGAGTCCTTCCTCCACAAAGACTGCAGCTGAGGGGCAGGCAGAAGCCATTATTGTCCTCTGCCCCACTTCACCAGACATTGCAGACCTACCAAGATAATACATGTGAAGAATTTTCAGTATTTTAAATACTATACCAAGGTGTGTGTTCCAATTCAGAGACAATCAGCTGTGCTTGAGTCTCACTGAAAGCAAATGGGATTTGTTAATTGTAGCCAATTCCTCACATTAATTTTAATTAAGCTTTATTAACTTCCTTTGGATTGGGGCCATTCTTTCCCTATACAGTTCAGACTGCAAGCCTAATGACATTAAGGAACAAACCTCACTGAGTTCAGTAAACTACGTCTAACAAAACAAATTCATGCTTATACTTAAAAATATTCTATTTCTTCTTATTAACATATTGTTTTAGTGCAAAGCTATACTGTGCTCTATAATTATAGAGTCGAGAACTGCAAAGAATCAATCTGAAGGGGGACTTTTAGTTTGATGATATTCTCAGAAAGAAAATCTGGGCAGAACATCCCATCTTGTAATGCCAAATGTGGCAAGTCATTTCTGATTACCTTTCTTGCTTAAGCATTACCACTTCTTCCTCTTGCTGCTTGAGAAGGCACTTAATTGTTTCCAGTTCCCTCTCTAAATGCCTGGTTTGTTTTTTAAGATCCTCTTCTTTCCTTTCTTTCTCAATCACTTCTTCCTGTAAACGTCGGCATGCTTGTTGGCAGGCAAGCAAAGATTGTTTTTGCTCTGTCAGAGAATGAGTAAACCTAAAAGTTAAAAAAAGACCAAAATGTCCTAACTGAAACATTTAGCAAGTATACAGAAAGATGTATTTTTACAGAGTCTTTACAGTAAATTATGCAAAGAATGTTTATGTAGTAAACCAGTGTGCAGATGAATGAAACATATCAGAAATGAGACTTGGAACTACAGAGTTTAGTACATCATTGTCACATGCTCATTGGAAGTGCAACACAACCAACAGGAGGTGATGATAGACTTAAACAACACAATAACCTATAGTCAAGGAATGTGTATGGGTTGGGCATGGGTTGTTGCTGAAAAGTGATTTACTGTGTCAGCTGGCACCAGCTGTGCTAACAATCCAGGAAGAGGACCCATGGTTTGCTGTAGGATTGTGAACTGTGGGTTATTCATCGTAGTTTGTTATTGCATCAGGATATAAATGCAAAAAATAATAAACAAAATGCAACACAACTAGAAGATACTGCACACTGCACAACAACATTTATATTTGTCTTTGCATACAATTGTAACCAATTGTGACTCATACCAAGATTCAGATCTTCTCATTTCAGAAGCCAGTTTTTGGAGTTTATCTTGATGAACTTCAACTTCTTTTGACTTCTTTCTAGAATACAAAATTTTGAATTATAAATCCCACTCTCTTTTAAAAGTAACAGAACATTTTTTGAGCAGTGGTCTTCATTTGTAGCTTATTAATGTTCTTTTACAGTGTTTCTGCTTAGCTTGTAGAAAAACAAATCAGAATGTACACCTAATGCTGGGACCCAGTCTCAGTGTTTCACTGGGCCTGTCAGCTTTACTTAGAATGTGATCAGGAGTTGTCTGGAATGATTTAGGCCTTCAAAACCCTGTGGAATGTCAAACCCTAAAAAGAAAGGCCATAAGGCAGTTTTTGGTTTTCTCAGACATAGGATCTGTCAGCCTCTCTGGGAACCTAGCACGAGTGGGAACTAGCAGAGGTGTCATTCAGCCTGACCCCTGAAGAGTCGACAGGAAATATCTACACTCAAAAACAGGTCCTGTGATAGGCTAAAACTTCTATCATTTAGTTGTTCAGTTGGAAGGCTACTGTAGCCAGTCCCTCCTTGAAATACATGTGTTTAGCTTGCAGCTGTGGCTAGGATCATCCTGTCTTCTTGGTGTGCATCTTTGTGTTTGGATCCATCACTGCTGGTACCTAAAAAAGCTTTCAGGATGCTCTCTACCTCTTGGGACCTTTTGTTCCTCTTGACACTTTGCAACGAATCTGCAAAGTCTGCAATGTTTATTTTGGGCTATGTCTCCCTGTGGACAGTGGTTTATGTGATTTTCATGACATGGACCCCGGGGGTCCTGAACTTGGACCCTGAACTTATGACTCTCCTATGCCTAGATCTATGCAGTATAGATATCCAAAGCTGGGGTCTCTGATGTCAAGACACCTACATGTGCGGACTTTCACGGATCTTAAACATACACCGATTTTGTAGATATGTTAAAACTGGATTCAACACAGAGTACACAGTTGGCACTGACCTTTGTGTGGGTGCAGATTAAAGTATTTCCCCTGAAGTCTGTTTGATTTTCCAAGAAAGTTGACTGTGGGAATCATTTCACCCCTCCCCATTACTCTGAGCAACAGAGATTACAACTGAGTGACCTACTACATGTTTGTTGAAGGGTGTAATTGTTAAAGTTTTGCCATGAGATTCTTTATAATGAAAGTAGCTTTGCTGATTCAGAGTTTCCTACATCGCACTGCTAGGCTCTTGGCTTGCAGGATCAAGCTCCTGTCACTTTAGTACAGGATCATATTTCCTCTTTAGCTTAAGATAAGCAATTATTAAAGTGTACCAGCCTTCCCCAAACTCTTGCCCTCCAGAGGTTTGGACTATAACTCCCAGCATCCCTAACATTTGGAGGGTACCCAGCAAGTATCATCAAATTTAATGAGGCTTGCTTCAGAGTAGACATGACTATGATTACAATTGCCATGTCTGTAATCAAGTCAGCATCTCTCCTCACCCAACTCCCAGTTTATGCAACTACCACACTGTAATTCCTTGTCATACGGACAACAACCCCTGTTCTACATCCAAAAATTAAGAAACAGTATTAAGGATAGAAAACAAATAAGGAGATGTATATATGATAGCAGAAACTCTTTTTTTGTGACTGTGCCTCAGCTGGACATTCTTTTGGCTCAAGCATATTTGCACAGAAACACAAACAGGGTGACCATGCACACATTTCCAAAGGAAAATATGACAAATTTTAATGTAATATTTGCATATGCTAGTGCATATGCAGAAAGAATTGCTGTAATAGAAATACACTACTTTTCCCTGTAGTGGGGAAAACAGGTGACTCGTATAACTGTTCAGCCAGCTGTTAGTACTATCTATAGTCATCTGCTGAATCTGCTCAGTCTACAGCAACTTCAAACCATCCCTTACGGTTCTTTAAGTCAAAGTTGCTGGATAGCCTTTCAATTAGACAACTTTCTCCTGTACAACAGTACACAAAGGAAGTGGAATGCAGGCTTTGGAATGGTACATCCAGGGCTGACATCAGGAATAGCTGAGCATGGCAGGGGGACCGCACCCAAGCCAGGCAACCTTCTTGTCACCTGCCTCTCACTGTAGACCAGGTAACAGTGGTGGTGGTGAGGAGGTGCAGTATGAGCAAGCAAGAGCCATCGTAAGAAACAGGCGGTGGTGGAACACAAGCATTATCGTGGCTAGGCAGGTTTATTGGGAGAGGTATCTTCCTCAAGGATGCTCAACAATTTGGAGTCAACACTGGATATACCTCAGGGAAAGCCCCCTCCCATAAAAAACTTCCTAATTCCCCAGATCTGTTAGGTAGGCCCTTTTCTGTGCCATGCCTAAGGTGCAAGATGGTCGGTGGGGGAAAGGAAAAAGGACCTTTATGGTGGCTGCATCTGATTTGTGGAACACTTTATCTCATGAGGTGTGGCTGGTTTTCTCTTTGTTTCCACTGATCAGTGAAGTTTATTTTTCTGGCTGACTATTGGCTTGCTGGAAATATGCTGTTTTAGGTGATGAATGTGGCCTTTGATCTGCTAAACCTGTCTCTGTTTTATACTGTTTGTATTGTAATTATAACAGCTGAGATATTTTAATTGTCAAAAGCTGCTCTACATAATGCATAACATTACTATAAATTTCTGAATAAACAAATAAAGAAAGCAATATTCAGAAATGAATGATAGGAAGTGGTAAGGAATGTGAAACAGAACTAAAACTGTGTAAAGCAGCTGGCAAATGTTGCACTGAGAATGCTATAGAATCCCAATGGTCACAATTTTTCTTGATTTTTAAGAGGCATTCCTTTTGAAAGACTGTGTTCTCTGAAAAGCTTGGTCTTTCCTAAACATATATGGGGAAGTGTGCGGGTGGGATAAAGAATCTCCTATTTGTCTGAACTGATTTAAATCAGGATGGCTCAGAATAATGAATCATTTGACTCCATGTCACAAGATCCATAATCAGAATGGATATGCTTTCTGACAGGTGAGGCAGAATGAGGGCTGAATGATTAATCCTCTCAACCAGAAAGAGAAAGTCACTATATGAGGACACAAGAAATCTCATAATTTTTACAAACGTGTGAGGCTTCTACATTCACACACTAATCGATTGTTTCACTAATCCACAGCTTAATTTTTCTCCTTACTGAGTCAAAACCCTAGTCTGTAAACCCTCTAAGCTTACTGCAGGAGTGCTGCATTAACTTGCAATATTTTTCTTTCAAATTCCAATTGTTAATGTTGATTTTCTGCAGATACATCAAGCAAAAGGCTGGAAGTTGGTATAAGGATGACTATGCAGAGTAACAGCACAATCCAATGTGGCTGTCCATGGCCCACAGGACTCAGAGGATTACAGCTATTTTATTAAGGAAGGAAGGAAGATGTGTGGAGGCAAAGACTGCCACCACACTTTTCTGATCCTGCAAAACACTGAAATGTCCAACACTGCCTGTTTTGCCTCTGCTCGTGAGGCTGGAGGCCCACTAGGTGTCTTCCAGCAGAACTTCTCCCTGTATCCCCAAGTACCATCCAAGGCTGTTCTAAGGCCAGTCTTCTGTCCTCAGAGCTGCAGCTAGAGTGCAAAGGATGGAGCAAAGGCACTCCAACACTGGAACTTTGGCCTTTTCTGCAGCCATCCAGATAGCATTTTGCAGTCACAGATTTGCACCCCAAGGAGGTTATTAAATACTTCCTTTTGCTGGAAGATTGGAAGAAAACATGGCAATTAGGAAGAAAGAGAAAGCCCAGTAGTTTCTTAATGTGCTGAATGCATGCAAAGTACTAATGACAAACTAGCTAATGAAACCAAAACAGGACTATGTGGTTCAGGTAATACCATGAGGATAGAAACAGATGAAGGGAGCAGTTAAGTAGTGCAAGACTACAGGAGGTAAGGTTATGCCACATGCGCTCTGCCTCAGGAGGTGGCAAAATATCTTGGGCCAGCAATATAGTGATACATGCTTTATCTGTGGAAACCTATGGGCTTTTTGCGTCACCTGGCCCTTGCTGAGCTCATCCCACCTGAACCATAATTTTTCACAGGTTTTTGGGTCCTTTTACCCACAGGAAAAAAGCAGACACGGGTAACAATTTTAAGTAGGAAAAAGCCTGGGAATAAAGCATTAAAGCAGATTGTCTCATCCCCTAATCTTCAGCCAAGATTTCAGCCTTTCTTAGATGCTTTTCCCTTAAAAAGAAAAGAAACCACCGTTGGGCAAAATGTCATTCAACTGTACATGCAATTTGGCCTCTGCAGTTCTCAAACTAATTTCTTTGGTGTTACACTGGTATATTTTGGTGTAAATGTGTAGCCAATTATCATATATTGTTTATTATTTTTATATAAAGGCATAGCTTCGAAATGTCTTTCCATTTGTTCTATTTTCTCTCATCTCAGATGTCAAAAATAATTAGCCAACTGCACAATGATTTATCTTAATTACTGTCAAATAACTGCTGCATGAACGTAAACACATTTTCTTGAGAAATGCAGGACAACCTTTAAAGTCTAAAGAATTTCTTTTGAAATTTGTCTAGTCAATGCTTTCCAGAACTGACTGTCACAGCAATTTATGTATCTGTTGAATTCAAGTATTTAGTTCAAAGTATGGTTTATAGTTGTTACATATGGCATGTAAAAATGATGTCTTGATTTAATACCATTACGTGTTAACATTGCCAGTAGGCATTCCTTTGAAATTTATAGATATTCTTTAGTAACGTGACTCAAATGTTCAAGATTATAGCTGTAAATCCATGAAATATAATAGAGACATCACAGATGTTAACTCAGGATGAATATCACTAATTATATACCAAAAGCACCTTAGTCTGAGTGCCAAAATTGAAATGAGAAGTTTAATGCTCGCTGCATTTCAGAACTGGGTCGTTCTATTACCCAAGTGAGGCAGATAACCTGTGCAAACTCAACGCTATCAACGTATTTCTGTAAGCTGTTTTTAGAAGAATTATTTCAGAAAACTTGTTGCTATCTATTTCCCATGGTGATTAATATTCTTGCTTGTCCCATACATTCCTAAAACTGGCATTTCCCGAATGGGCACATA